ATCAAAAGCTAGAAATGCTTGAGCAACGATCTACTGAAGCAGGTTAAAGTTAAATACTTGATTTACCATACTGTTTATTAAATTTAATACTTTGATTGTTTTTCAATTTTACTCCTACGTTGCCCAAACTGACAATTTATCTGAATTGAAAAAATTTCTCGGTGAAAATTTACTGTATACAATTATTTTGTAATTAAAAAAACTAAAATAATTTTAAATAACGAAAGTTTAGAATTGTTATAACAATTCTTCAAAAACATACCAGTTGTAATTTTCAACTAAAACAGAGAGTAGTACTTTGTTCATTACTACTGTATTATTCTAAAAGGGTATAATAACCATATTTGGAAGAAAAAAAGAAAGCAATTATTCATATACGATAGAGTAATCTAAGTTATTTAGCAGTTAAATTTAATGATCAAATAATTGTTTAATCAAGACTGGCGTTGAGAAAGGCAGTAACAGTTCGTTTAGTATGAACTACTGCCTTTTCTAGTACCTATTTAGATCCATTTCAAGTATCTATTGACATCCATTTCAAGTATCTATTTAGATCTATTTCAAGTACCAATATTGCATGTTCAGTAAATTGTGCATTATTCACCGTTACTATTATTTATAAAGACATTAAGAGAAAATGGAAGTAAATGCTACTTACAAATGAATTTAATGATTCCAGTATGTCAAATAAGTAAGTTGATAAAATAGTTAGACAAGAAAGTTACTACTTCTGTTATTTGAATTTGCAGTTGTCAAATACTTTTTGATGAAAGTATAATAATACTTTAACCTCCGAGAAAACTTTAATTTTGCGCGAGTTTGAAATCATTGAAAACTATGCAAATACTTGAATTGTAACATCTTTATTTCTTATTGAAGAAAATTCAGACTTGCATAGGATCACTTGTGAGGAAAGTAAATGCATACAACAAATAGGCCTTCAGCAAGTAAAACTCAATTTTAATGAAATGAAAATTAAATTTATTACTGAATTTAGTTGATTTTTTAATTTCTGATTTTGCATGCAACTTTAGTAAGTCTAAAATCTTGTCTTTAATCTATATTGCAATAATCAATACCAAGAAGATTGAGATTCTAGATCGATTTTTTTGATTAAAAATCATTCAAACTTGAGTTTTTCTGTGTCAAAAATATGTGATGGAATGGACAAGAAAAACTAAAGTATAATTTAAAATACAGTGCAAAGCCAAAAAATAGTGTGGAAAAGATGAAATGAACACTAAGTAACAAAATATTTCTACGATATTTCTTAAAATAAATTGAAATTGATACTTGTGTGGATCTTGTTAAAAAAATCAAAATTACTGCAAAAATCATAGATTACTGTAAAAAATCAAAATTAGT